CAGACTTGATTGAGTTTTGAAGAGTAGAACAAAGGCTTTTTGTGCCAAGAAGAGGCAGTGAGTACTGCTTTCTGGAATTGGCCTAAGTGTAATAGGATTTGTGTAGGCTTATGAGTGGAAGTAGTTCACATAACTAGTAGAAGGTGTCTCCAGGAAGTGCTAATGATATAGGGAGCAGGTAAACCCTGTATTTGTGCATAGCTCATTAGCATTCTCCTGGTACTTTGTAACTTTCAATATGCTACGAGGTAAAAGATAAACATTATACTATGGGCATTAACAATTGGTTTATGATAAAACGATTGGCATTGTTATGCTTAACGTTTTGTACTTAATGGGTTTTAATAGATGTAAATGAAACAAATTGATGTATTTTAAATTACGTAAGGACTTTTTGGAAATAAGTCAAACACTTTAATCAGTTGCACATAGTGGTTTGTAGATTGACTTTTTGCTTTTTCAGGAGGTTTCTAGCAACTTGACTAACCTGCTTTTAGTGTGAGATCTGTGTTGAAAAGGATCTACTGACATCTTTTTAGAAATAAAAAACAGTGCTGCATGGCATTTCAAGCATGCTCATTTTTCCTGGTTCTGTCATTGAAGAGAATGTGGTTGAGAGGTTGCAGTGGAGAAAAGGGAGGAGAGAGGGGGAGAGAGAGAGAAGCCTCTCTCTGTCAGCCTCTTCTGTAGTCTGATATTCTTTATTTTATTGCTTGATTTCTTCTGTGGTAGAATTGCAGAAGCCTCTTCTAAAATAACAGTTATTTCAGAAATAGAAACTTCTTGCAGTTCTGAACCATTACAAGAATGGTCTGCTTTGGTTTTAGTTTTGTTCTTCATCTGTCACTTTTTATCCAAAGAGCTTTGAAAATTTACTAAAAATATGGTAAAAGTAGGATTAGAGAACAAATATTTATATCAAATACAATAGAAGCATTTCAGTGTTTATCCGAGAGACTTGCATTACCTCACAGGTCAAAGCTTTCTGAAATCAGTAGTTGGGGGACACATGACACCATCCATTTCCTTTGATAATAAAACTATGTATTTTTTTTTATGATGCAGGTTTTTTGGGGCATCAGCTTAGAATGAATTTGAGGGGGGAAAAAACAAATAGTCTTGCTGCAAACCAAGCAGGCTTCTGTTTTTCAAAATTATTACTCAAATTTGAACAATGACTTTGATCTTCAACTTGGTGAAAGCATGGCCTTGTATTTTGAGATATTTTGAGATCCTCTGAATTGAAGTTCAAGGCCGTAAGAGTTTGCATAGACGTTTCGGATCTCTAGCTTTTCAAAATAATACCAATTGGGACATCTTAAGAGTTGTTGAGTTGCTGTACTAATGACTTGACCTCACTTACAATTAAGCTTATTTCATGCTTTGAAAAGAGGTATGAACAATAGTAAACACCATTCAAGACCTTGAAAATGTCTTCAGCTACAACAGCAACCAAAAAGGAGGTCTGAAAGAGTGGGAAAACAGGCAGTTTTGTTAGTGTTTAAAAGAAAATCTGCTGTTTGGGGACTTTGCTCTTGAATTTTGCATATTTTAATTAACCACTTTAGTATTGCCATGTATTTTCACCTAAAAATTTCTCAAATCAGTGTGAAAATATTCCCAGGAAATGAGGTGCTTGATTCTGGTTTCAAGGCAGGGAGTATGGGAGAAGGTGGGAAGAAGTTGCACATAATTAAAGATACTTAAGAAAGGACAGGAAGTTGTCAGAATGAAGGATATGTTTTGACCAATATAATTTCTTAGATGAGGTAGGGTATTGACTAATTAAAGTGAAGTTTAAACAAAAAAGAAAAATCTGATGTGATAGAAGCAAAGCAAGGCATGCAGTTTTGAAACAGAAATGTGTAAAACGTTTTGGTAGTAGAGGAGAAAATTCTGTAAATCTGGGGACCCTGATGTGTGTGTGTTCTCATGGAGTTGTAAATATTTTAGCATATGAATAATTTTCAAAGAAAAGTCTTTAAGTCAACTGATCTATAAAAGGAAAAAAGGTTCCTGCTGTATAGCATGTCCTTATGATAATGACACTTGGTGAAGCACTTAAGTTATGCTCTCTTAAGTTATTGCAAAGAATGTTATGGGTATTATGAAACTTGGAGGACTCAACGGTTTTGACACATTTGTGTTGATGCTCTAATTTGAAAGGATGTGGTGAGCATTCAAAATATACGTTTAAAGATTCCTAAATTCTCCTCTTCAAACTCAAATTTTGTGCATCCTTTAGTGTCTTTGGTTTGTACATTTTAAGTATTAGCTTTAACATCCTTAGATCTTATCATTGTTGCAAAAGCAAATTTGTTGTCAAACAGTTGAACATGATTATACTGAGACCACAAATACACCTCGGGATAATATGGAAGCAAGGGGCAAGGAGAAGCTTATTCATTTAGTTCATCTTCCTACATCTCCCACGTTTCTCCATTCCCTCCCTGAAATAAACAAGACCACCCTTATTTTAGGGTAACTGGAGGATCTTCTGCGTTAGATCTCCCACCTCCTTGTTCTTTTGGAGTGCGTGTTTCAATAGAACCAAGATCAGTCTTCTGCTTTGTTCATCCCCACATACTGTTGTCTTTCCTGACTGCTTGCTGTGCTCAAAGTTGAGCCAACAACATTGACTGGATTTTATGAAAAATCCTAGTGGAAGTTGCTCTTTTTCTTACACAGCTTCCAGGCTTCAGAAGATGCATAACAATAATTAAAAAAAAAAAAAATTATTAAAAAATCCATTTTATGGTCATGCAGAATAGCTTGAAACCTTTAGGATGTCTGAGTTTCAGTATTCAAAGTCTACTGATCGAGTTTACTTTTTTTTAAATAAAATGTATATTAAAAAAAGATACATAAAAATAAATTCTTAGTGTTATACAATACCTGACAGGATTGAGGAAGTGAGTATCCTAAAAGTGGCAGTAGTGTCCCTTCTGGCAGAAGTATGAGAAAGACAATTTTGCTTGGAAGGAAAATATTTCCTACAGATTTCTTCAGTTGCTCAAAGAGGATAAGAGTTTTTCTGGCATTTGACTTGCTTTTAGAGATGATCAGCTTCAGCAAACATGGTTTTTTTCTGCAACATGTTTTCTAGAAATGATAAGTATTGAAGTGAGAATAAAATATGCCTAAAAAGACAAACTTCAAGGTGGTTAAATATAGTTAATGAACACTTTACAATGAAAAAAAGCTATAAAAATGTAGGCATTACTAATTGTTCTGATTATATAACCTTTACAAAGACAGGTAAAGCAGTACTCTAAACATTGATTTGTTTTTCTAGCTTTGTGTGATTTCTTGTGCAACTGCAAATCACATTAATACAGCCTTTTTATGTAATAAATTTAATGTGATAGTCTTTTGGTAAAATCAGTGCTGTTAATCTCAAATTAAAAATAAAGACATTCCTATGAACGTCTCATTTGGATTTTTTTCCATTTCTCCTTTCTTTACTGTGTAACTTTGAGCATCAGTAGTTTTAATGAGTGTAAGCTCTTACAAAGTACGCACTGAAAAATGTTCGTCAATTAAATTGTCTTGCAATGCTTTCAAAGCGCTAGCAAATAGTTGCAGCCTTGTCTGTTAATGGAATGGTTTCAGAACATCTGAAACCCTGTTCAGCCGCAGATTGATGATACAAATTTTTGATTATCCTACTAATATAGCTCTAAATTAAATCTGTAAGTGGGTCTTATATAAGAGCTATGCTTGCATATTTTCTGAATAAACTGGTACTATAGACCTGAGACATTATCTGTCTACCTTTTGGTCATATATTTTCTTTCATATTTATTTAGTGTTTTGCTACTGACTCCCCCATTTCTTTTAACATGGGACTGTATTTTGAAAAGTGCTTTAGATTCAAGTTGTTTAGCAATTACCCAGCTCCAAATGAGACCACAGGGTTGCAATTTTAATTTTCCTCTGTTTTGGCTCAGCTTATGGAACTCTGAAAGTGGAGCACTTTAACCAAATACTCTTCTGCAGTGTTTCTGTGGATGTCAATTCAGTTTCATGGATTTGATGAGAATTTTGTTAAGATTTCCATTTTTTTAGGAACTTTTTCTTTTTAAAATGATACTTGGAAGTGGCTATGCACAATACAGGGGGGAGGGAGGGGGAACTGTTTCCATGTCTTGATGTTATTGCATGTTTTTTCCATAAAAATATATATTTGAGTAAAATAGAATAAACGGTCAGGTGTCATTTCATATGTCCTGAGCAATATTAAGAGATTAAAAATTCTTAAGCAGTTTTCATTCAGGATAAACATAACTCACTTGAGAAAATGATTAATAAAAGGCATACTTTGAAAATAATCTTTTTTTAATATATATATATGTATACACACACTCGTATATAGGTACATATTTTTACTGTGACTCCATTGATTTTAATAATGTTTAAACCAGCGATGATCGTGCATTTAAGATTCAAAGTGGAGAGAAAGGGGACCTACAGTGCTCACTGGCTTTGCAATACTGATTTTCTGAATCCTAATGGTTTATGTCTTAAGCAGAGCTGCTTTAATAGAGATATAGTGCATATATCTATGAATACTACAATACTGCTTAATTTCATATCCTTTTTCCTACGACTGTTTGTTCAAAGACTGTTTGTTCAAATGGCTTAATGAGGAAAAGGATTTGTTTTGGTGATGATGGATTGCAAAACGTTTAATCATTTTATATGTTCTGATAAAACGGCATGTGTACTAGGACTGGGGATGGGGATATTTTCACAATGATTGGAAAAAAAAAAACCCACCCAAACATTGCATGTGTGTTTGGCCTCTTCTATAGAATTCGCACGAATACAACATTAAGATTGCATACCAATTCTGAGCTAATGATTTATTCAAGGTTACACTTTGCTAGCTAGTGCTACTTTGGTGGTTAAGTGTAGCTACTTTCTTACTTTACTACAGCAATGTGCTTGCTTTTCTTTTACCCCATATTCGTATTTATTCTTTTTCTCTTGATTTGCAGCTCTTTGCGAAAAACAAACCTCCAAAAGGTCTTTATGTCTATGGAGATGTTGGTAAGTTTCAGTTGCATCAATTCCAATGGCATTTTCTCTAAATGCATGTTTATTCAAATTCTGAAGTGTCTAAAAGCTTTATATTTATGTAGCATTATTGCTTTAATGAATTTTCCAGGATTAGTTTTCTTCCATGTTATGATGTTATTTAATACAATTATACTCTGAATTCTGGAAGCTGTTGGGTTGGACAGCATTACCATGTGTAGGTTTTTTTTCAGCGTTACCCAGTCACTAATATTAAGAATGCAATTTAACAATTTGGCAAGTAATTGAGGGGGCCATGGAGAGAATTTATATATTCTAATTGCAACAATGCAGCATGAAAACATACTTGCTTTTCAAAAGGAAATACTAAGGATGTTTTCTGGATGCATATGGAGCCATTTGTGTGACCTTTGGGCCATCTCTGTATGGATCAGAATTTTAAAACAGAAAAATAAAAATGCAGTTGTTCCAAGTTTTTGAAAAGAAAATATAACTGTTCTTCACAAACAGTCTGCCTTTGTACTTATTCTGTGGAAGAGTATAGTTTCATTAGTTCAAAGCTAATGAACAATCATTATTGTAATCAGTACATACTGTTCTTAAATTAACTACCTGTTGGGTGGTTTTTTTTGTTTTTTATTTGAAGGCACAGGAAAGACAATGGTGATGGACATGTTCTATTCTCATTTACACGTAGAAAGGAAAAAGAGAGTCCATTTTCATGGCTTCATGCTAGATGTACACCAGAGTAAGTGCAGACACAGGTATTTACAAGAATTTTATGAAATACGATATCTGTTAAAAAAAAAAAAGTCTGTCTCATTCTCATTTTCATACTAATCAAATAACTTTATTTAAGTATTTAAGCAGAAAAAAAAAGAGAAGTTAAAGGATTTAGTGTTGTCTATCATACCACAGTAGATATCAATCGTGTGTTATTTCTCAAGTATCTTTTCTCAAAGATTCTCAAAGACTCTGTTTACCTGATTGTATATTGGGTGTGTATTTAGGATTAAATCCTTAATTAAATGCTCTCCAGTTACCAGTTAGCTTACATGCGGTATGAAGAAAGTAGTTGCTAAAGTTGAAACAGTAAAGGTTAAATTCAATCTGCATTTTGAATAAGAAATAACTAAATTGTGTATAAATGCCGAGGAGAATGAGAACTGTTCTGGTTGGCAAACTTAGTAATACTATCAGTAATTTAGAGGAAAAAAATAATGGAAAGAAGTTCACCCCAAGTTTCAGAAAACTTTCTGGCAGGGTGAATAAGGCACTTTGTTTTGACAGAGATACTGTTTTAGATATTTTAAAATTTGCTTCTCTTTCTAAATTCTACAACCTTAAAATACTGTGAAATTGTTAAACAATGCTGTAATTTGCAAGTATTGTGACAGCTGCATTTTTCTTGGGAAGCTTTCATCAGTGTAAACAACTTCTGCCACTTTTAGTGCCCTATTTTCTATCATAGTTGGGTCACTTGACATTTTTGGTTTCCATTTCTTGTCATTTGTGCTTAATCTTAACAAAAGTAGCTTCTTACTGCAGGATATTTGTTTTCCAAATGTTTGTTTATAGTTGGATGGAATCCAATCCATGAGACAAGTATGGATGTAATAATCTTACTTTGTGCCAGTATCATCATCTTTACATTTTAAAATATAACTGCATTGCTATGTCTGAATTCTTTTAACTAAATGCATTCTAAGTATACCTTCAGAGCATGCAATGCACAGAGCTGTGCCATTGATTTGTAAACCCTGTAAGGGTTTTTCATACTTGGAGAGAAGATTAAGACAGAAAATGCCAAATTACAAAGTGAAACTGAAACTAAGGTTATGAATTGATTGGAGCAAGATAAAACTGTAGTTTATATCAGTTTTTAAAAGATAAAGTATAGGTGCATAGGATTCAAGGGTTCTTTGATTTTTGTTTTACATATTTCTGAACAAGAAAATATGAATTGCACAATCTGTGAGCTTTTAATAGTTGCCTGGATGTGGTTGAGAACTGTTTTGCCCTCTTGAAATTGGACTAAATTTGAAGCTTTCTTTTTTTTAACTGGACTGGGTTACTTCTTATTTGGTAGCTAAATAATTTTGCTCTCCCTATCTTAGAAAAAGAGATAAGAAATATTTGGGTTTTTTCTGTTTTATCAACTCAGGAATACATCGCCTTAAGCAGAGCTTGCCAAAAAGAAAGGCGGGATTTATGACCAAATCATATGACCCAATTGCACCAGTAGCAGAGGAAATAAGTGAAGAGGCTGCTCTCTTATGTTTTGATGAATTTCAGGTAAGAAGTCGGAGATTACTCCTTTGGTTCAAGGAGTAATTACTTTTAATCTTGAAATATGATGCTTGTTACTGCTAATACGGTATTTGAATCACTGGCCAGTAGCGAACTGTAGAAGCTGAAGAGTAGAAGTAATTTCACAGTTTTGAAGATGGTGTTTTGTTTTTTTTCCCCAGGAGATAAGATGCAAGTTGGTGGTGTAAGTCCCCTTATAGTGCTTTCATTAACCAGTCTAGTTACTGGTCATAGAAGGGGGTATTACAGTTTGGTGAAGAGGCTCATGAGTACTTTAGGGCAGGGACCATCCTCCTGTTCTGAGTCTCTACAGAGCCCAGGAGAGTAGTCGCCTGATACTTGCTTGGCATGTCTGGTCTTTGCTGTAGATCATATAATGCAACAAAATTGTCTCAGTGTGATTAAGGACGTGGAAATAACATGTCAAAATCAACCTAAACTCTTTCCTAGAATTACTGGAGCCTTTGGGATGGCAGTGCCAGATTATACCAATGTAACTAACATTTTAAGAAACTTCTGTTGAATTAAATGTGAAAATTAAAAATAAACTCATAAAATGATCTTTGCCCAAGCTAACTTGGTTGTTTCATTTGTTTTACACAGCTTGTGAATTTTGTTTTAAGGGCATGTCACAAATTTAAGTGTAGAATTGCTTTGTAAAAATTTTTAGGAGAGAGGCTAGAGGTATTTGGCAGCTCTAATCATCTGAGTTTTTTTTTTAATTCAGAGAGAAAATGCAGCGCAAGATAAGAACAGATCTGTGTTAGTTCTCAAATCACCAAGAATAAAAGAATCATCTATTAACTGTAAATTGTGTTATGCTCTTAAATTAATACATTACTGAAATAGATAGAGCAATTTATATCTCCTAGCCATTATTTTACAACCTGCACACCTGAGAAAATAACTGGTTTATGATCAGCTCCCATGAAGGGGATTTGTGTAGCTGTAAAGTGGTAGGTGTTCTTGTTTTAAGTTGCTCTTGCATTTTTTGACAAGGGGTAGTCCTTTGATCTATGGTTTCAGAATGTGTGGGGTCATTGCAATTGCTGCTGTTTGATCATTTAAATTGTGCTTTATCTAGTGAATATGAATGCGAGGCTTCCAAAACTTGCAGTGTAAAAATCTAAATGCAGAGACAGTTGTATTTACACTATGAAGAAATAGCAAGGTTTGGAGAGGGCAGGGAGGAGTGTTAACTGTCATGACATCAAATGCTCAAATGGTAGAAAGAGGCATCTTTGCTGTACCATGTATTAGTGTAAATACCTGCTTTTCTGTATAAACGCCCACTGCTTTCATATCCTGGTGTTGCTGTGTTTCCAGACTGCCTGTCATGTTTCCATATTTTAAGGGGAGAGACTGGTATTTCTTGTTTCCAAATTGATTACCTGCTCCCCCTGCTGACTTGCTTGAGGTACATCAGTCACTTCAGTTGTAAAAATCACCTGGTTTTGTCGATGAGTCACAGTTGGGAAAGTAATACAAGAACTGTACTTTAAAATGTCTGTCTAAGACTTTGCATGCTTATGTTCATTTTAAAAATCTACTTGTTCTGGGTGTACTAATGTTCTAAATTCACAAATTTCTGAACAGCTGGATTTCTTGACTGATTTTCTGTAGCATGGAACGCTACGCAGGCTTTGCCTACTGAAGAGGAGTCCCAGCTTTCTGCAGTTTTGCAGAAGGCACCGGATTTGGGATATGAAACCTTCTGCTTAAATAGTCGTAAAGTAGTGCAGTGACTGGAAGAGCAGCTCACATGGTGGCACAATTAAGATTGATAATAAGGAGCCATATCTAATTCAGGATGTTTGCAGCTCATTTCCCCAGTGGAGATAATGGCTAGATTTCACTGCGATCTGTTTCACTGATATTTAAAGAATTGGTAGATTTAAATGAAACTGGAAAGAGCTGGAGACTCAGAACATATACTGCTCTGACTCGCAGGCAAAGCTACTGTTTTGACAGACGGAAAGTCAAGTTGGGTCTGTACTACTTTGGCAAAATACTTGGGTGTGGAGGAAACATCAGGAAACTATTGAGATTTGCTTGAAAAACTTCAGGTTGCTTTCAAATACCTGTTGGAAAAAAAGGAAAATAAGCTGAATTTATTTATTTATTGTAAGATCAGACACACGGATGAGTGATGCTGTAATAGGGACAGCAAGAAGTATTGTTAATGCTCGTATTTCAGAGGAAACCAAATAAAGAACTTCAAAAGACAGAAGCATTGCTGAAGTTGCACATTCCTCTGACAGTGGGCTAATGCAAAACAGAAGTACGTTGAAGCGAGTCTTCTTGCAAAGCCTAGAGAACTGTCGGACAAGTGGAGAGTTGACTAACTGATACAGAAAAACATTTCAGTACTTTTAAAAGTAGTTTGTATGTTCCAAAATATTGTTGTATTAAAAAAAAAAAATTACTATGTCTTGGATGTTTCTTTTTGCAAATACTGTGTGATAGCCAGAACCTTAGTGATGGCACTAAGCTTCTGAATTTGGCCATTCTGAAGCAGGTTTTTTGTTAGCATTTGCATGAGCCACAGGTTCTCGGATTATTAAAGCATTGCTACTTCTTACTGATCTTTGTCATACAGTTTACTGTAAATATTAAAGTCTTTTTTTTTTTTTTTAAATCACAGAAGTCTTAAGCCATTGTAAAAATGTGTCCTCGTTTTGAAGAAAAATCCTAGAATTAAGCCATTTGTAATTATAATTTTGATGTTTCAGAACACAGGGGTTGGCCAATAAAAAAAGACTAGTTATTGTTTAGTGATCAAATAACTATACAGAGGTAATTAGAAGCTCTAATTTTGGCATGTGACTGTAACCTATATTAGTTAGTATTGATAAATGAAAACAGAATCCTTACTTTTTGGTAGGCTGGATGCTCATACAGTGTTAGTCTTTATATATACACCATTGGTACCACTGGGACTTAAAGCAAACTACAATTTAGGGAGTTTTTACTAACCTGCATGCTATTAAAAGCCTCTAATAAAAATTAGGCTCTTATTTTTGTGGTAATACTAATTACTGATAATACATGCTTATGTTTGTCATTTATTACGTGGAACTGTACCAATCAGTGGATGACTGAGTCTCAGGCACTTACACATGTAAATTAACTATTAGTCTAGTGTTTTTTCTTTTTTTCTTCTTCTTTTTTTTTTTTTTTTTACTTGAGTCATAATGGAAAGCAGCACTAGGTCATAAAAATCTTTTCTCTTAAATGCTAATGAAATTTCTCCATTCTCTCCATTACCAGGCTCTCTTTATTGGTAATTTGTAGCCTTTGCTTTTGTTCCCTGTTGCAATAAATACTGGATACAGTAAAAAACATGAGAAATGACAATGCTTTAGTTAGTCTACTACCTGCTTTACCTTATAGGAATTTTCTGTCTTTCCCAAGCTGTAGTAGATAAAAAGAGCTCATAATTGCATCCCAGTTCTCAAAATGGCTCTTGGTTTTTGACAGAACTTTCAAGTTATTTTTTTTGTAATGGAGTTGAAAATGTCAGAATTCTGCCTCAAATAACAGTTCTCATCAATAAGAAGATGTTATTAATGGTTTTCTTTTATGTGAGCATTAATATTCTTTCCCTCCCTGTTTTCTAAAAGTTGCATGCCTTATAGTATTTTTAAACAAAAAAGTTTGTTAAAAAAAAAAAAAAATATTTATATAGTACATTTTAAAAACTTGACTGTTAGGTTTGCTTTGTGATACAAGAAATTCACTTATCCCTAAAATGCACATATATACTGATTCCCTGGGTGTCTTGTTCTTTAGGAACAGGGAAAGTTCCTGAATTTTATTATTCAGAAGAAATAAATTATCGATGGGTGGGTACATAAGCAGATATATTAGATGTATAGTACAATATGACTTACTACATGCTTTTTGGAATATCAGATCTTAGTGATCTGGGATGTGCAAATCTAAGGGGTGTGTTACCGGTTGTGTAAAAGTTTGTTTTTGAAAAAGGAAAAAAAATTCCGTATTAATGCATTCCATAGAACTAACTAGAAGAAATCTTTGGAAGAAGGAAACTGGTGTTTCATACACACGTATGGTTCCTTATGAACATTATTGCTTCCAAACTAGCTGTCAGAAATGTAACCTAAGTCTTTTACTGTCTCTAGTGTACAATTACATTTTTTTGCTGCCCAGAAGGGTAATTTAAAAATGGAGGGATGATGGGGGGTGGGGTGGTGGTGGAGTAGGGACAAAAATTATACTGGTTAAAGTCTTTCTGTAGATGTATTACTACCACAACATGCACATCTAAACTGGTGAAAGCGTAGCAATCTGTCAATCTGTTGTGTAATGACTGCATATAACTCTCAGCGTGCCTCCACTTTTTTATTTCCTTAGAATTGGGGTCTGTTTCGGTAAGTCAAAATGCAACAAGCGTCTCTAAAATAATCAAAGGGAATGCAGGAGGAACAAGTGTAACGATAATAAAGATGGTTTACTTATTAGGATTGCTAATCTCAGCTGGTGAACTCCTGTAAAACATAAATTGCTGTTGTAACAATGGGCTTTTTTCAGAAAAAATTATTACTTTTTTTTTCATTTGTACAGAGTAGTTTCTGTTTCCTTTTATTTCTTGATACTGTAAAGCAAGTTTGTTAAGCTAAACTTAGATATTTAAAGAAATATTACTTTGTGGCTTATTTTTCAGTCTTTCCCCCCTGCCAAGTATTGCTTGTCCCACCCATTTTTATTTTTCGTTCGTGTTTTGTGCCTGAAGGTTAGAAGAGGCTGACTGTGCTGGAAGTGACTGCCTTGCCTTTTGATTATTCATGGACAGTAATAGAAGGCACTTAAAAAGAACAATGAAATTGCTTATTTTTGTGATGGGCCATCTGTTGAATTGTTTTTTTGCAACAATCACACAATAGTATCTATGTCATATCATTCTATTTTCAACAGCAGCTGATTATGTATAGTTGGCTACTTGTCTTTATTTCTGAAGTCCCATGACCATTTAAATTCACCTCTGCAAACCTTTGCCTCAAAGGTAATAGAAATGTAAAACAGCCGGTGTGTATTTTCTTTCCATCTTCTGTTTTTTCATGTTGTTTCTAATTAATTCGGCCTCTTAAATGTTTAGGTCTGTTTTCCGTGTCTCCCACCTGTAGTTTTATAATAGAAGTTAACATGGAATCATTTAGCAATTGGTAAAGAAATGGTGGAGTTCCGCAATAAAGAGTGGGCAAGTTTTGAAAGACTGTGGTACATTCACTGCTTATTAATTATCCCTTTTATTTTTTTCTCACCAAGCAATAATTAGAATCTTTCTCCATAGCTTTCACTAACAAGCATTTTTCCTAGCTACAAAGCCACTTGCAGATCTATTGCGGCAGAAGCTGAAAGCAAGATAAAACAAATGCGTTGTCTTCTACAGGTCACTGACATTGCTGATGCCATGATTCTGAAGCAGCTTTTTGAAAATCTGTTCCAAAATGGGGTTGTCGTTGTGGCAACATCTAACAGGCCGCCAGAAGGTAAAAACAAACATGCTACTAGTATTATCCAAATACAATGAATGTCAGTATCTTACAAAATAATCGTATTAAAATTGTATAGTATTTAATACTAATAAACTCTCCAGTCTTCAAGAATCTGAGATATTCCATTTTGTCCCCTGTTTTTTTGTGTTCTTAAGGAAGAAAGGTTTTTCACTAAGTCTTACTCCTCTTTTCTCTCAAACTCAAGGTATTCCTTCTCTCACCTCCCCCCAAATCCTTCTGTATTTTCTGAACTTCTCTACTCTATCCAAACCAGTGGGAGGGTATTTGGGTACAGGGGAGTTGGGGGGACGTGAAATATTGCCTGTGTTGTGGATGTATTCCAGGGTAGGAAAAGATTGTATTCTGCAGAAGAGAGGGGAAATGAGAGTACGTTCCTTCCAGATTTCTAACTCGGAAACTTAGAGACTTGATCCACCAGCTCAAGTGAGAACCCCTTATCAAGATGCCATTCTCACAGCCTGGTTTGAGGTCACTCACTGGGAATCACTTAAGTGGAGAGTTGTTTCCATTTCTAACAATATTTTTAGACAGAGAGTGACTAGCTAGGTAGATCCTTCTACAAAGTTCCCAGATCTGTGTGGGTTTTAACCAAGCAGTAATTGTAATTTTTTGTAAAGGAGAAAAATGTTTGTTATAATGTAGTGTTACCAGGTAGCATAATGCGTAATTTCTATGCAACTTTTATGACACTTTAGATTGATCAATTTCAGATGTTTGCAAAAAAACCTGAAGAGGTACAGCACTAACTGTAACTACCAGTTAATTTTTCTACCAAAATTAATTGAGTAAAAGAGAATCACTAAAGATTTACAATGCACTTTATCTTAAAAAAAAAAAAAAAAAAAAAAAAGAGAGAGAGAGAGAGAGAAGAAAACATTCAAATGTTTTTACTTTAGTGGGGGAAAATACTTTCCCATTGGTTTATTTTCCTTGTTTGAGCAAACAAGATGAAATCGTAACTACTGTAATTGGGTTAACTACAGATAAACTGGGCGCTGGTGCCTTACTCAGTTGGGAACCATCCTTGTGTTTTTTGAAGCACTATTTAAAGTTCAGGAGAGATTTTCATCATAACTTGGGGATTGTATCCCATGTCTTAAATTGAGACATCAATTTGTGACCATTATTGTTGTATGGGGGTTTTTTAATACATACTAAGTCACTTTGTCAACTTGAAAGACACCCACTTGTACTAGCTACCCAACAGAGAATGTCAAGAACGGTGTCTCCAGAACTGAGCTATGTTGCAGTCCAAATGTTGGTCAATGCCTGTCTCTTCTTCCCTTCTCACTACTCCTGCATGCTCACGGTGTGTCTCTGAAATCCTCCTGCAGGAAAGAGAGTTGGGTTAGTGTAGTATGCTGCATCAGGGTTTAAGACTGAATTGAAATTAGTTTCTTGTGGATACAAAGAGGAAAAGCAGCTTTTTCATTAGAGAGCAGATGTATCCAGCTGCTGACCATTAGGGGAGTATGAGGGGAAATACTGAGGTGCAGTGTTTGAGGAATCCTGTCTTCATTTCTCCACCAAAATTACTGTTTGTTTTTCTCATCCTCACAAAACAGAAACATAACACAAAACTCACAGCTTTATTAACTAGAAGAACTAACAGAAGTAGCTGTCTTATAGTGCTGTTACATGTTCACTAATTCTTGCAAGTAAATATGCAATTGGTTGCTGTTTTAACAAATGTATAGCTATTGTGATTTGCAGAGTTATGAATGAGAATGATACCTGGCTTCATACAATTTTGTTAGTAATTAGGGTGCGGAATCACCTTCACTGATAGTTTTCGTAAATGTCTCTGTTTACATATCCAATTTTGTGAAAACCATTTTGTAGGTGTCCTGTTGGTTTCTCATGCATACTGTATCTTCTGTCCATCATGAGGTGTTGGTAGAGCATAAAAGCTTTAGCCTAGTCGTAGCCTTCAGGAATTATGGGGAATATAGGTGGTATTAATAACCTGGCGTGGTCTTCACGGGGAATTTTGGTGACATCTCTGCCAGATGTCTGTATTCTCATACTTATTCCTGCTGTTGGTCATAGTGCTGTACTGCCTTTTTATAAGGCTTCCTAATGTTAACGAAAAAGAGCAGCCCATTGTACAGTTTAAGTGATAACAGTTTCAATGAACACGTTGGACAGTTGGATAGTTTCCAGAGAAGAGAACTTTACTCTGTGTAAAATATGGAGCTAAATAAGATATAAAATGCTGCTTTGCAGTTTGTTTTTATAATTTATCTTTTCTTTGAGTGCAGATTTGCATTTTGTTACGTATCATTCTATTTTTTTTAATTCACTTGTATTTTTAACAACTTTGCATATGTTTACATATTCATTTAACTTTTTTTTTTTTTTTTTTGCCTTAGGGATGACCCTTTTTCTGGCTTTGGAAAAGGGGGTGTACCTGGTAGAATTGCTAGAAGATTCAGTGTACTGTGGTACACTGAATAAGAATTATACTAACTTTGTAAATTCACATAGTGTATTTTTAGTTTACATTAGGTTTTTCCACTCTGCCAAATACTTCATACTTAGCAGTAGCACAGTTTTGGCCTTATAATCATACCAATGTATACCCAGCATTACAAATCCTTTTTTATATCCTTACTTTAAGACAGATGCTGGTCTTATTTCTTCCGCTAAAATCAGCTATATGTTTTTAGAGATTTAAGTCATCTTTCACTCCCTGTCTTTTTCAGACTTTCTCAGGATGTTTCTTTCTTCATTAAGAATGTATTGAATTTTCATACAGCAAAAGAAGAGAAATCAGTTTCAGCTTGCCTTTTTTGCCTTTTGTTCCTCCTCTCTCTAGCAACACCGAGTTTTATTTGCCAGACTAAAAGACAAGCTGACATTGTTCCTAAGACTAAGTAGCAAAATGGTTCTGATTTCCTTTCTTTCAGATCTCTATAAAAATGGTCTTCAGAGAGCTAATTTTGTACCATTCATTGCTGTGCTGAAGGTAAGGAGAGTCATTTGTTAAATGCTTTTCAATTTTGCCTGCTGTATTAATAAATTAGAGATTTGTACAGGGTTGCTTTGATACTAGTTTCCAGATAAGATGCATATGCTTTAACTGTTTGGGGCAAAAATAATTGAAGGTAAGGCAAAAAGGAACTCTTCCTCTCTAGAATTAACAGGTCCTGAAAGCTGGACACTTTTAGTATGACAAAAAGTTACCTTTTTGATTAAGGAAGCAGAATTTGTTTGTCTGGATAGGACTTTTCTTACTGGTGTGTATATGCTGTATAACATAGTATTCCTCTAACAGTTATACTGTGTTGTACTTGTGGACATGTTACATCTACATGCTACAAAAACTTGGTGTTCTTTGGTGTAAGGAAAGTAGTATTCAGTATTGTACCCCTCAATTACCTTGTTTCTGGGGGGGGTCTTTCTCATGTGTAAGTGGTTTCCTGAATGGGTATTTGTGAGGCTTCACATAAGGTTCAACAAGCACCAGTTCTGAAGCAAGCTTCCTGGAGTCTGCATGGTGTGGTGTGGCAGGCCGTAAGCTATAATTGCTTCATTTAGATTAAAAAATGAAGCATCCTTTCTCAATGTGAATAATACAGTCATTGCTTATTTTGCTATTAAAAAGAACATATGCTGAAATCACACTTTTAAGTTCCAGGCAAGTTGCAGATATTTTTAATTCACAAGCTATGATTGTATTGTTACGTTACTGAGGGCTAGCATACAGCTCCTGTGTCCTGCTCTGCCTGGATTGACATGACAGGCAAAATGGAAATAACAGCACTTCCCTACCTCACAGAAGTATTGCCAGCATAAATACATAAATAATGTTAACTATATCCATATCTACGATAAAAGAAAAGTAAGGTAGAGTTTAGAGTAGATTTGGCTTAGTGAGAAGAAATTTGGAGTTGCTGAATAGATACATTGGTTGGATGTTCTTGTGGTCAGCAGTAAAGCAGTTGACCAGTGCCTTGGGTTTTCAGTGGGGATTTTGGAATCATAAGATTGCTTAACTGCCTAAGCACCTTTGAAAATCCCATCTAATGTTGACATTTAAGCAATTACCAGGTTTCAAAGTTAATATGCCATTGGCATGAATGTAGCACTCCTAAGTCTCTCAGAATGGCAGTGTATAAAGTCAGGGAGGTTACCAGTGAAAATGGTTCTTACCTGGATGGCTTTAGAAAAGTAGGAAACATAAAAATAAATGAACAACCACTTTCACTTCAGGTTCTTGAAAAGGGTTTATTCTGTAGCTGACTGCATTGGATGCAGGAGAGGTCCTGATCATAGAGCATTTTCAAGAATAGTAGTAGTTTCATATGTATTTGCTTTTTGAAATGCAGCATCTGTGGCAAATCTTTCTTTTCTATATATCTTCCCCTGTTGACTCTTAGTCTTCTTCCTTAATAAATGTAAGGCTCTTTCATTTCACTGATGATCAGAGTTAAAGAATATCTATCATGTATGCTTATTTGTAGTTTCCTTTTTTCTCTTTTTGGCTAGCTGCAGGAAAAAAGTGAAATGTATTTTATGCATACAGAACACCTCATCAAGGCTGGGAAGGTAATCTGAATTTTTAGAAGGGACCTTGTGGATAGAACGCCGAGAGAAGCAGTAAAGGTGGATTGGTTTAGAGCTGCAACAGAGGATGGAGTAGTGTGAAAAGAAACAAGTAGCACAGCCCAGACTAGAGGTAGATGAACATTACCATAATGATGAATGGAGAAAAAAGGTTTCACTCAACACTCTATTCACAAGGGCCCTTCTAAAATTCTGGATTACTTGTCGGTTTTTTCCCCTACATCTTTGTGTTCTAACACTGCTCTAAATGTACCTGTGTTTAATGTCACTTTAATAAATGTTACCATGATTCTTTCCATGATTCTTGGATGGAAATGTTACTGCCATCCTTACCATGATTCTTACCATGATTCTTTCCATTCTCTCCATGATTTCCATTCTTAACATGATTCTTTCCTAAAAACATAATGCCTGAAAGGTGGTTCAGAGGAAACTTACCAACAAACGCTTCTCTGACCTTAGTTGGAAAATGGAAGGGTAATGGCAAGGTATTAAAAATAATAATTAAAAATTTTCCAAATCTGCATTTTGAATTCAACACATCAGAAGTAGGCATTAAAAAACCCACACTGGAATGTATTTTAAAGTAAGGTTTTAACAAGTGACCTTTACATTACAGAGGCATGGATAGAACTAAATTGATCCTCTCGCTGTGGTGGTTTGAGAAATGCAGATATAGGCCTCCCCAACATGTGTTTAATCTGTATCATGGCATTGGTGTTAATGGATGGAGTAGCTTCTGCCTCAGCTGTTTATAATTCCACGTGTGACTTTAGGAAATATAAAGATTATACCTTCCAGGGTTTTGCGTGGAAATATAAAGGAAGAATATTACATTGGATGCTTGCGAATGTTTGATTTACTGTCTTCTCTACCTTTACCTCACTCCAAGCCCTCTCTGTCTGTGGTGGTGTGAGTCTCGTCTAACCTGTTCCCTGGCAGTGGCTTTGACAGCTCGGACTAACTCCTGTCTTGGTTTCTCTGGGCTCAGAGCCTCCTGCAGGGCTTTTGTTTGGGGTTTAGTGGGGGTGAGTGGGTGGGTTGGTTTTGTTTGTTTGTTTCAGAAATTAACTTTTATGATCATAAATCCTAAAATAAGGCTTTAACACTAAAAGTACTTCAAGTTCAACACAGGAGCTTTGAATTCCTGTAAATATTCTTGGGAAGGTGGGATGAATGGAAAGTATTGACAGTACATTTCTGTGAAGAGATGCTTCACTTGAAATCGATTTCAGACTGTTTCCATTCCTCATAAATGGAACACATAGTTCCTAGATACCCTGGTAACTGTTACACAAAAATCTTTCCCTGTCTTCAAATGATCCAAAGAAATGGTTTCTTTCCTGCATCGAGAGTTACCCATGTCCATCCTTGATTTTGTTGTTGGTTTTATTTTCTTCAGACTATATAATTCCAGTATCTGTATTTGGGTTCATATTTCTGACAAAGATAACTACAAACCAATTTCTGTGGAATCAGCAAAAAGGTGAAACAGCGCTCTAGGGAAGATATAGTTCTCTTGCAAAGTTTGTCTGTATTGCCCTTCTAGGTGGTAGATTACTGGGGATAAGCGGTTGCTGAATGCCTGCAGTGGGAGGTGCAATTGATAAGTTCCACTTTTTAGGGCCACATAAAAGCTCCAGGTCCTACAGCTGTGGCCACATAAAAGTTCCAGGTCTGTGTAGTTGGGCAGGCCAGTAAGATCATGGGCAGCTCTTCCTGCCCTGCATGTGTCCCCTGCCCAATTCTGACCCTGTCACAGTATCCTGATCTTTTGAAACCTTAAATAGTTTGAGATCTAATTTTTCAGTGATTCTTTAATCATGCAACTTAAAGTGGTAGTTTTCATAAACAGGGAGAAACTCTGAATTGATTGGTTCGTTGTTGTAGCTAAAATTCTTTGGGAAACAATATTCTTTATGGAAGGGCTTGGCTTCTGCAGCAGATAAGAGTGCTTCTTCAGTCAATGAAATTTTATAAAGATGAAGGTTTACAGAGATAAGAAGTATTAGGAAGGAAGATCTCTTAATTCTGTAATTGCAATTAGATTCAGTCCGTTCTGATTGAGCTTGTAATCTTGCAGCATGTCTTACCAAGCATTTTAAAGTGCGTGGAACTCCTAAGTGATTTTTTTTTTTTTTTTTTTTTTTTTTTTTTACAAAGGCAGTTCTTGAAAAGAAAAACATTAATTGCTCACAGTTACTTTGTTCAAATGCTTAGAGGAGAAATACTCCCAAAATGGTTAAACTCAACCAGTAAGAAATATAAAAATTTTCTAAACATTTTAAAACTGGTTTACAAATAAAGCTATGTATCTTTGACAACTTGATGTAAGATCTGAAGTGAGGCTCTTAAAAAAAAAAAAGGGGGGGGGGGAAGCACACTTTATGTTACTCGTTTGGCAATAATTTTAGCAACATTTTAATTTTTGCAGGCATTTAATGAAGACATTTACATCAAGCCTTAACTGTTCTGGAATCCTAATTCTAATTCAGTGAACAGTTCAATGCTTAATTCTTCAGACAGGAAGGAAAGCTCCTCAAATAGTTTGTTGTGTGTGATCTATGACTTAAATGAGCAGTTCTTGAGTATCTAAAGGTTTCCTGGAACCACATCATGAAGTTTTAAAAAGTCAAGCCAAGTCAAAATACCAAATACGTAACTTCGGCATTTTGTCAGGTTTTCTTCATGCAGTAGACCTGCACTGCACTAAATTCTAACTGAAAGTCAGGAAGTTTCAGGGCCTTTCATAGCCTGAGTATACCTTTAAAAGGTACAGGTTTAAAATAAAATGTTTGGCTTTGGCTACCCGCATTTTGTATTAAGTAAAGAGAAAGAATCAACCATAAACCTGTTGTCACTAGGACATGAAATTACTGTAAGTTTCCTATAGTGAACTTTTTTTCCTTCCGCTATTAGAGACCAAATAATTATTTATTTTAAAACTCTTTCATTAAAATGACTCTTAACAATAAGCATTGTACGCTCCTCTCAAATAGAAAACAATGTATCTGTACTGTTCACTGTCTGTCTTGAAATTGGTTAATGATTATTTGTTGACACTGTTACCTACGCTGGTTGGTTTTAATTAAAATACACCCTTTCTTTCAAAGCAAGAAATGGAGGAATTTGAAACTGTTTTCACTTTTCAATAACAGTTTGAATATGTGAAAAATACTTGTTTAAAACATTAAGAGCTGTCCCTAAGGAAATTGTGAGAGTTAGTTTTGTACAAAGGCATTTGGTAGATATAAAATGTCTTTGATGGTGCACTCAGCTTTTGTCCAACCACCTGTGTGAGAAATGCAGGGATTTGTTGACTGACGGATCTGCCTCTTTACACCACCCCCCTCCCCACCCCCC